GGGTGCGGCGTGCACCGGGGTGGCAGCGAGACTTCGAGATGGATTAGTTTATTTTATTTAATTATTCATTTACATCTTTTATTCATTAATGTATTTAGGTTTTTGTTAGGTGAGCGAATTATAAGCTCCTTCGAGGGTTTCTTTACGGTTCTTTACCTCGTCGCTTTTCTTGAACCGTCAGGATAGATAACGTAGATTAAACTAGGGTTTACTAGGGTTGGGACGCCTCCTCATTATAAAAGGAGAGGGACCAATATTACTTTAAGGAAGGAATAAAAATACAAAACCCTAAACCCTCTCGTCTCTTGCTCGGCTTCCAGCCGCGGCGTTCTTCTCTCTTCCCGTATCCCCCGTTCTCAAGCTCGGAGGCGCTTTAAGCCTCCCTTATCTGATACGTTTCGTATCATGTTATTAGCTTTTACATTGAGCCACACAATATTTATAAGCCTATGGCAACCGCTAAGCTCGGCCGAACGATGTTCCCAATTCATAGAGGAAAAAACACTCAAGCGACAAGTAGACGTATGCCTGCATAGTATGACATTTATTGAATGCACTTAGACACTCAACCGAAAAATCTTCTATGTGCTTGAGAAATTGTGATGAAAAAATAATCATTTAAATGGTGACTCACTAAATATATTATTTTTATACACTCACTCAAAATACTGACAATGCAACGCACGAGATAGAGGTCTAATTAAGGCTTAAACGAACCAAGACTGGAAAATTAAAACCAATGCATAGAAAATATCATTCCGATCCGAAGCATGATAACATGAGAGCACGAGGTCCACGACAAGCAAACAAAATGCATGGAGTCCCGGTTCAATTCAATGATGCTTTGACCGAGTGTCATCGCTATACAACCTACAAAAAATAAGTGATGACAAGATTATTTATTTGATCAAATAATCAAAGACAATAAAAAAGAAGTTTAATTTAATAAGTTTAACTCTGTAAACAAGAACTTGATAGAGGGACGGGGAATACTGCTTATTCTTATTAGAATTAGATCACATATATCACACCAGATCAGATCAAGTCAGATGAGATCAGAAACAACTTTAAATATAATAACAAAAGATAATATCAAATCGGGTCATATATAAGATCAAATTAGACCAGATCCGGCCCTTATTAAAACCCGATCAAATCTAATTAGGTTAGATGAAGAGAACAAACTCTTACTCCCATATTCAACAAGTGACATCATTACTCACACAATTTTATATGCTTACATCAGTGCTCCCAAAAATGATACGGAGTATTTTTGTATTAGTGCTTTCAGGTCAAATTAGTGGGACTGTCAGTGTTGGAGCGCCGATATAAACATATACTCCCCTCCTTCCATTAAACTCTTCCTCTTTCATTTTTTTTCAAAAAATGTATGAATTTGTCTAGCATTTTAAATTTAAATTTTTAAAAATAAGATTTCAAAAAATGCACACTCAAATTTGGGTGGATGAGATAATAATTCATTATTATCAAAAAAAAAATACTCCACTAAATAGAAGGAGATGTGCATGTGCTGACCAATCATAAATCGTGGGAGAGTTGGTATTCTTAGGCTTATCAAAGACTTGGGCGCCGATGTTCTTGGTGGCGAGGTTGCTTCCGGGGTGGAACACGCTCCTCCACACGTTATCTTTCCGACCCGCCGCCGCCGTGGGAGATGGCGTCGTTGGTGTCACCGGGCTTGCCGGCATCGACT